GTGGGATTTTTAAGTTAATGCCAACATCCCCCCAAAGGATAGCAGTACCCACCAATGCTCTCTGTATCTGTTTCCACATGCTCCACATCTTCCTCTTCTTCCTCTCCAGCTGGTGATTCCTTTGGAAGACTACTTTTGCTTTCTTCTGTAAAGGACAATTGGGATCTCTTAGGTATGAATTAATTCAACTAATTTCTTTGTACACATCAGGTTAAATATAGATCTATCTAGTATAGTTCCAGTAGCAAAACAAGCAAAAAAAGCCTGTCAAACAGTGGATTTCTTGCTGTTTAGCAAGAAGCGTAGAGAGAAGTTTGCTTCCAAATAAGAATGTTTTAAAGCAAATTGATTGCAGTAATGGCTATGGAAACAGATCTAAGCAGCAAAAATTGTCAGGGGAGAGACTTTGCAGGCTGCAGGATGACAAGAACCACTGACACAGCAGTCAGTCCAGAACATTTCTGGAAGAAGTCATCTTTGACAAGGCTCAAAACAAAATTTGACAGCACTAAGAATGGTAACCAAAGATGAACTCATACTAGAAAGGAAGGTGTGAGCAGTGTGAGAATCCAGGAGCTGCTGTGGGTTTACTATTGGAATCACTGTAACATCAGAAAGTACTTACGGACACTGCTGTGATCTGCCTGTGTACCTTCTGCTGCCTTCTCATCTACTCCCTCCTGTTCATTTGGAGATGACATGTCCTCTTTATCTGAAGGCAGTGAAGAAAAACTTTTAGTATTATTGCCTTTAGCAATAAACTATTTAATTTAGACTAAATTCAGATTATTTCCATTTCCTCCACAATGTTGAGATTCCCAAACATAGTATTTGTGATCTGCCTGTACACTACAAGTATGGAAATCCAAGAATATGTCCTACTTTATAGGGTGAATTAATTGGTTCAGTTTTCAGACCTCTGAGCTCTGTGTACATTGCTACAGAAAGACTGTCATCTAATTACTGTGCAACAGGGGAAGAAGCAGAAGAGAAATTTGCATGTTCTGGGCTTCTCTTTAGTGTACTCAGGTGAGTTTTGTTTTTGAGAGAAAACCTTTCTGGTAGATTTCACGAAAAGCAAAACAGATATGGGAGCAATTATGTACAAATACTACAGAATTCAGGAAATTAATTAGTTGACTATTAAAAAATCTAAATATTCAGCATAACAAATAGAGCCAGCATGAAAATGAATTGGTCTGAATGTGTAAGCTGGACTTCAAAAGCAAGAATAAATCCCTAAAGATGCATTTCTTCTTTCTGACATTGGGGCACATTATGTTTGAGAAAAAAATATTTTGTGTTATCTTGGTCTTTTCAGGTATTTCAGGAAAGGCAGAGTGTCCAAACATAATGCCACCCCCCCCAGAAAGACAATGAAATCAAAGACATATTGTAGACATGCCATTAATGCCATCATATAGTCAACTTACCCTACTTAATCTTCATCTGAAGGATGTGAGGTTTTGTCAGTCTGAATTTTCTGCATAATTTCTTTTAAGAACTAAAATGAGTATTTACCCCTCAGGGGTGCTCAAAAATAGACACGCAGAAAAATGTTGAATTCAGAAAACAAATCAAAACAACTACAGTGTATCTCAATATATTGAAATGATTTTAGTGAAATGACAGAACTGATACTATTGAAGAAAGTTTCACACTAGTTGCATAAATATACAGTGGAGTCTTCAGAGACCTGAACTCCAATTCCAGACCCAGTAAGGACGTGTACAGTTTCTATCAGCCATTTCACCTCTGGCTGTCTCAGTTATCTCTTGTGAAAAATGAGATAATAATGCTTACCCATCTTGGCAAAGTGTTTTGATATCCATAGAGAAAAGTGCTATAACATTTCAAATTATTGCAACTAATTACCAATCATTTATCTTCTAAAAATTAAGTCTATCATAGTTTTCATTATAAATTAACTCCTCTCTGGAAAATGCTTTAGGCTGAAAGAGGGTCTGAACATTTCTGCCTCATCATTATCCGGGTTCTAGTCACAGAAAGCTGCTGTAATGTTCTCTGTACATATTACTACGATGGCATTCAAAGACTGTCCCAAAAATAATATAATTGTAAGGCTCTGAGGAGGTTCAGGAGAAGGATGTCCACTTTTGTTGCAGTTCTGCAGATTGACTGATCCAAGAAAACTTTCATGCAAGTTCAGTGTGACAAAATCCCTCTGAGTTCTGATTTTCTTTTCCTGTGCACTGCATTTATGAATCTTTACACATTTTTTTTTTTTTCCAGAAAGAGGAAAAATGTGGGATGACAGTGCCATCTCAATGAATTTGTTTGTCATGTCAAATAAATGCTCATTTGATTTGATTTTCCTTGTATTTCAAATATATGATACAATTGTCTGAGGTATGTGTAAAGCTTCATAAATGCAGTACTTGCCTTCACAAAGCTCATGACTGATGCTTCAACAGCATAAAAAGCATTGAATTAAATAATGATTAAAATGTGGCCAACAGTTATTATCCTTTAGAAATCAAACATATCTATTAGTTATTATTTTGCAATTTCTTTTACAAAAGTTTTGGCCACCAGTGAGTATTGAACAAAACTCAAAATGTACTTTCAGTAACTTGTTCTTTCCTTCATGAGAGACACTCTTGTGTTGTTCCTTTCCTTGTCTTTAGTCCACATGAAAAAAAAAAACTCAGCTGATCCCAGGACTTTGTTTTTCTTTATTAATTCCAATCCTGATTCCTTTTAGCATAATATTTATGGGCTGCTCACTGCTATTTCTGGTCTGGAGGTAATGCGCTTGAACTAAGGACTGGAACTTTTGGCTATTAAGAGGGGTGTCTGCCATGAGGAATTAGGCACTAACCAACTGTCCCAGGTTGCTTTCTCAAGTCTAGCTCTGCTTTGAAAGTGTCAGATTTCTCCCCATTTGCCAAGCTGTTTTTGTTTAATTCAACTTCAGTTGCCGTTCTCTTGGTAGCTTTTTCTGGCTCTTCCTTCTCTTTACGAAAAGCAGCACACCATTCAATAACTAAGGATTCCGTTTAGCTTTCAGACCACATCACAGTATGCCAGCAATTTACTGGGCCACCGGTAGCCACAACATGTGCAAACAACAGAGTTCTGCAAAACTAAACTTCACTCCAAATGAAATTAAAATATTTAAGTGTTCATATACACAGTGAAAAACATACAACTGTAAATCAGGCATAGCTGGCATAGCGCTGTCTGTGTGTCATTATCAGTCTGCATTACCACAAAATTAGTATTAAAAATCAGCTCCAGGCAATCAGCATGAAATCCCTAGGAAATAATTTTTCATAGTAGAGAATATTGCTGTCTTGTAAAACGGAGGACTTAGGAGAGAGAAGACACAAATTATCAATTCTTGCAGCAATTAAGGTTATGCATATAAAATATTTACTAGCCAGAGACAGCAAGGCTACAGTTGCAAAGCAGGATCTAGACATATCACCACCCCCATAGCCCCATTATGTCTTTTGTTCTCCAACAGAGAGATGAAAGAAGTGGACAGCAGAGCCCTGCGTAGACCTGACTATTGCTGTGTTGCACACAAAATATTTTCCAATAAAACAGAAGGAATAAAACCTAACTCTAATTTCAAACTAAAACAGCTCTTTGTACAACCTAGACATCCCAGATCTGTCTCATGCAAGTGAGAGTGCTAAGTCTATTAGAGCCTGCCATGCAGATGAAGGTGAGTAATCAGGTTTCGGTCAAGCAAGATATGAAACAGGCCGTATCACCACAGTTACTTATTAACACACGGTGTAAAGGGAAGCCAGAAAAATGAACTACAGAGCATGTATGCAATAAAAACAATGGCCTTTTCACAGGCAGTACAGCAAAACCAACATGTCCCACATTTCAGAGATAAAGGATTGCCCGCTTCAGCCGCAGAACATCTGTTTCAAGATAAGCTAAGCATTTATGCGTACTTCAGCACACAGTGGCGGTGGCCGTGCCGTGAGGCGGACAGCAGCGTGACCCGATGACAACGCTTCTCTCCACGGCCGCCTCTCACCAGGACAGCAGGACACGGCCACCGGCAGGCAGGGGGGCGCTGCGGCAGGCTGCGAGCTAAGGGGCAGGGAAGCGATCCCTAAGGAGTCCTGCAGGGCCTCAGGGGAGGCTGCACGGAGGGGCCAATAGTCCGTGTGAGGGGTGATGGTGATGGAGCCGGAGCCGTGCCCGGAGCCCAACGCTTACCTAGGGCCGCATCCAGCGCGGCGTTACCGGTCTCCAGGCAACCGCTCCGCTAAGCACTCTGGGAGCGGTAGTTTGGAGGGTTGGGGAACCTTTACGCTTTTTAACGGCTGGGGCGGAGGCGGCAGCTATTCTGCCATAGGTCGGGCGGGCGGGAGGGCTATGCTTGGGTTGTCTTTTCCGACGCTAACAGAACCCGCTCAAAAATGAGTGTTCATGTCTGCGCCCACCGCGGACCCGAACTGTGGGAGTTTCAAGGAGCGTTTGGACACTGCTGCCAGACACAGGGTTTGGATTTTGGGTGATCCCTGTGGGTCCTTTCCAACTTGGGATATTCTGTGGCTCCATCCAGTAGAAACTGGAGTCGTGACGCAGGGCTGCCGCTGTCAGGGAGGGCTCCTGCTCTACAAGGCAAGGGGCCAGAGCTCTCACCCTCACGTAAGTCCCCCTCCGTGTACTTGGGGAGTGAAGATGAGCGCACCTGCTGCCAGCCACACACAACCTGTGCGTGTTTATATGTCTACCGATAAACACTCATCTTGGAGCAGGTTTCTGAAGCTGGGAGCCGGTGTCCTCCCCGCTTGCAGCAGGGCAAGAGTGTGGAAGGGCAGGAAGGCGTACCTGCCCACAGCAGAGGCGTCCGCCACGGGCCCGGGAAAGGAGAGAGGGAGCGAGGGGAGGGGACTGCCGCGGGCGGCGGCCCGACTCTGGGACAGGTGCCACGGGAAGGGGAGGGCCCGTGGGCGCGGCGAGGTGGCCTGTCGCGACGGCCTCGGGCGGGAGGAGGAGGCCGCGCCATGGCGCCGCCGCTGGCCTGGCTGCTGCTGGCCTGCCTGCCGGCCGGTGAGTGAACCCGCGCGGCGGAGCGGGGCCGGTCCCCGCCCCTTGACACCTGTACCGAGCGGGGGCCGGGAGGAACCCTCGGAGTGAGGGCGAGGGGAGAGGTCGGGATAAGGAGCGCCTGGCCGGGAGAGCGACTGCGGTGTCCCGCCTCGTTTCCCCTTGGGACAGGTTTTGAGGCGCCTGCCCCAGCCCAGCGCCTCGCCCCGGCTATAGCGAGGCCGGTCCGCGCGTGGCTTCGTTACCCCGAGAGCGAGGCCCGTGTGTGGTCGAGGAGGAAGTGACCCCCTGCTTCCTGGCCGCCTCCCGTGTCGCCTGTGTACTGCAGGTTGGTTTGGGCCTGAGCGCGGGAAGACACGCAGCGGTCCCCTCCGGCGTGGCCACAAGTGCCCCAGCCACGTTACGATCTGATGCGACTGCGCCGCTTCGGTACCTGCTGGGTGTGCTCCTACATGGAAACCAGAGCTGCCCTCCCTGTCCAGAGGTGGCCTTTCTTCCAAGTTTTGCAGGTTGCTTGATGGCTTTTGATCTCCTGTAGGGACCAAATTGATCGTTTTGCTTCTTGAGTCAATGGTATATTTGCTGATGATGTAGCTTTAAGCACCAAAAAGGGAAACGGTAAATGAAGTGAAAAATACAGAGGTATGCCAGTTGATTGTCTAGCTTGACAGCAGCATTTCTGTTTGATGTACTAGCTAAAAATTGGCTTCACCGGTTCTAAAGGTCAGTATCTTTTTCAAAGTAGGGCAGAGATATGAGTTAACAATAGCTTGCTAGGTTGGTAGTCCCAGATTTGTTCTTTCCAAGCAGAAAAAAGAGCATCATGCAGGAGAGGAGTGTCATTCAACCCTAGGAACCTATCTTAATTTCATAGTTGTCTTGTGTGGTGTTGGCTGGGAGGCTATATGAAACACCAGATGTACAGAGACATCTGACTGCAAAAAGAACTTCGGTTTCTGTAACTGAAAAGCACAAAGTTGTATTGAATATTCTTGTCTGAGAGATGCTGCTGCAGAGAGCATAGAGAAAAGCTGTGTCAGTAAAGGTCAGAATTCTTATGGGAAAGATCTGTTTGGTTGCCAGTGAGATTGAGGTTTTGCCAGCCTCGAAGATTTGGATTTTGGTTTGGTTTCTTGTGATTTCACACAGAAAGATCCTGTGTATGAGCTGTTTCACAATGAAAGCTGGAACAAAATGTGTCAATGTACAGTGCCATGAAGTAAAAGTGACAGCAGCTACCTGTCGCTAGTCTGGACCCTGTCTAACTACTGCACAGTAAAAAACAGCCTTCATGTTGCTAGAATTTTGCACCATTGCTACTATTTCTGTGTTTAAGCCTGTGTGTATTTTATTTTTCAAAAAGGTCTTGGACTCAGAGTTTACCATGATTAGCAAAAGAGTTTGCTCTTCTCTGTTTTGAGTTGGCTGGCCACAAGTCTTTTTTCAAACCAGAAACCAAGCAAGTATTGCATTAACAGTATCCAGCTGCAAAAATACGTGTTGAGACAACGCTGCACCTCTGCAGCTATGTGGTGGAAACTGGATGAGCTTATGTTTGTCAGGAGCATACTCCATGCAGCCTAAGAGGGCACTGAAAGAATGATGCTTGCAGGTGTGATCCAGATGTTATATATCCCCTTATTCTTGGTTCTCATCCTGAATATGAGATTACAGGGAAAGACTTGGAATACAAGTGCTAGTTTATGATCCTTTTGGTAATTTTAGACATTCTCTTTTCTTCTCTCCTTCCCTGTTTCCCATGCTCCCAGTCTGGAAGCACCTAGCACAGCACCACGAGCCTGTTTCCTGGGATATGTTCCAGACAGGGCATCTCCTACGCTCACTCCACACTATTTGTATTGCCTTATCAAAGGCAACTTGTGATAACTTTTCTGTTGTTAATGACAAGTACAGATTAATGTATTATCAAAGTTTAAACAAGATAGAGATGTCTCTGAGTGTGGCTAAAATAAAGCATAGCTTATGAAAAACTTCATAAAACGTGACTGGATGTATGCAGCTGTTTGGATAGACAGTGCTGTGGAAGTTGTTATGGATGAGTTCTCAACGTACACAGTAACAGCTTTACTAAAAAGAGGGTCTATAAATGCAGGTCCTGTGTGAGGCCAAGGGAAGTGAACTTCAGTTGTTGGCCTGTTGCAGAGTGAGATTTATGCTGTGATATCTGCCACTGCTGCTTGACTGCCTCCTGTGTTCTTTTTTGCAGGTTGCCTCTCCCTGCTGGTGACAGTGCAGGATACTGAGCGTTACACCACCTTATTTGCCAGTATTACCCTCAAGTGTGATTACAGCACTTCAGCCCAGCTGCAGGACGTAGTGGCGACCTGGCGCTTCAAATCCTTCTGCAAGGACCCCATCTTTGATTACTACTCAGCCTGTGAGTATCAGGCTTGTCTCCCAAGGGATTGCTCTTCAAATGTAAAGGAACAGGGAGGCAGACTTACTGGGGAATATAGGTTTTGCCTGACCACAGAGTAGGTCAGGCAGTGGTGTTTTGCCAGGATCCAAGAAAACAAGATTGGGCCTGTGATTTCCTTTGCAACGTCACGACTTTATGGTACAGTATCATAGAAATCCCAGCCAAACAGTTTGTCCTCCTTGTCATCAGATCAGAAGGCAGACAGATTTAACCATGTTTTACGTGTGTCAGACTTGGCAGCCCCATATTTGAAAACAAGGGTCTTGCAACATGTAGACTTAATGATTACATGGGAGGCAATAATTTTGAAGCTGGAGACCAGTGACTGTTACTGATTTTAGGCAGAAACATGCTCTTTGGAGTGCAGGAAGGCTTCTAAGCAATAGTATTTAATACTAGTGGCAACGCTTTATATGCGGATATTCTGGTGCTTGTTGCATTGTTTCAGGAGTGTTTAAGATACTGTGTTTAAACTGGCCAGCCTTAGCTTAATTGCATACTTAAGAATTAAGACCCTAAACTTGTTTGGTGTCTCGGTGCCTGAATTCCATCTCTGATCTCTGGATGGGTTGGATAAGCATGTGGTCTATAGCCAAATCTGCAAACAGGTGGGTCTGATGTTCTGCTGTTCCCAGAGTAATGTGGTTCAAATTCATAGTCCCCAACAAGGATAGAAAGCACGAAGGTCATGGTGTTTGCTTGTGTGGATCTTCTCTTTGTGATCCATTGTAAACACAGCCATGTTTTTGACAAGGTTTGTCCTGTCTTCTCTTCACTGCAAGTCCTTTACAGACAGTGCTGAGTGCCTGTATCAGTAGTCTCCACAAGTCTCAGTTCTCAGATGCCTGGCAACTCAATATTTGGTTCCACTGTGAATCTTTTTGTAAGAGTATTAGTCAGAAATTGCCTCTAGTCTTTCATGAGTATTTTTGGGTCTCTATACAATATAGTCCTGTACAGGAATTGGAGGATGGGTTTTCCTGTCTTTAGGAGCCCCACAACATATAAAGAGATAGAGAAGGGGAAAGGGAGGCAATCCCACAGTGGTTTTTATGTTTCTGGAGATATTTTTTGTTGTTAAATAAACACAATTTTGCTTTTGTTCCAATAATTCTTGGAGTTCTGTGACTCTTTTCCTTGCAGTTTGTTTCTGTACTCGGTCCTGCCCTCTCACCTTTTTTAGGTTCTTTGTGCTGTTGTTCTTTCAGTTGTGAGCACAGGAGCTCCTCTACAGCTCTCAAAATCTCTGTCATTCCTGTGGCCCTTCGTCTTTTTTGCTTTTAAGCACTCCAAAGCAACATATCTTTTCTCTTCTGAAGCCGTGCTTTGTCTTACTGAACAAAAGCAAGTGCACATGTGCATTCAGGAGTTCTCTGCTGCTTACAAGGAGATAGAAATTGGCCCTTTGAAATAATTTTTTGCATCTTATTTGATGATGTGTGCTTATAGCATACCAAGCCAGTTTAGCTCTTGGCCAGGACCCGTCTGATGACTGCAATGATGTCCAACGAAAGGTGCGCATTGTCATCCAGAAATATGGGCAGAATGAGCCTGTGCTGGGTGTTGACTACCGGCAACGAAAGATCACCATCCAGAACCGTAAGTGACTTGGCCTCACAGGCAGGCAGTGAACTATCCAGTACGTGGGCTTACAGAGCAAAGCAAAGCATAAATATGGGTAATGTTGTCTGTGGCTTATGTATTCTGTGATGTGGCAGTGGAAACCTAAGCAGGTCTAGCAGTGGGCCCAGGAGAATATCATGATGTTCAACAAATCCAAGTACAAGGTCTTGCACCCCCTGCTATCCATACAAGCTAGGAGATGAAAGAACTGATCACAGCCCTGCCAAAAGAGACCTGGGGGTACTGATGGATGGCAGTCTGGACGTGAGTAAGCAGTGTGCTCTCGCAGCCCAGAAAGCCAACTGTATCCTGGGATACATCAAAAGCAGCGTGGCCAGCAGGTGGAGAGAGGTAATCCTGCCCCTCTGCACTGCTCTGGTGAGACTTCACCTGGAGTACTGCATCCAGATATGGAGTCCTCAGTACAAGAGACACATAGACCTGCTGGAGAAGGGCCATGAAAAGGATTCAAGGGATGGAGCATCTCCCCTGTAAGGACAGGCTGAGAGAGCTGGGTCTGTTTAGCCTGGAGAAGTCTCTTGCCAGAAACCTGAGAGTAACTTTTCAGTGTGTAAAGGGGGGGCTATTAGAAAGAAAGGGGTAGGCTCCTTAGCAGGATCTGTTGTGACAGGACAAGGGGAATTGTTTCAAACTAAAAGAGAGGAGATTTAGATTGGGTCTAAGGAAAGAGTTTTTTGCATAAGGGATAGTGAAGCACTGGCACAGCTTGCCCAGAGTTGGTGGGTGCCCCATCCCTGGAGACATTCAAGGTCAGGCTGGGCAGGGCTCTGAGCAGCCTGATTTAGCTGTAAGTGTCCCTGTTCATTGCAGGGGACTTGGACTAGATGACTTTTAGGTGTCATTTCTAACTCAAGTGACTCTGTGTGTGATTTTGTGAAAAAGGGTTTTGAGGGGCCGGGTCCTCTGTCCCCTACCTGGCCTAAGAGTGTTGGAGGCACTACAAGTTAAGACTGAGTTGAGGATACCCAAGCATTTTGCTGAAGAGTGAAGATAAGCTGAGGAGTTCACAGGCCAGAAGACAGTTATTTCCTTCAAGAAACACTGCATAGTTTTTTAGGTGCTCTATATGCTCTGTGCTGTCCGTGGAGCAATAGCTGTTGCTGCTGCAAGGGAGTTAGTTACTGGGATGTCTGGCCTAATGATTACAAGAGTATGTGTTCCAAAACCAGTGCTGGCAGCTGGCAGCGTGCTTTTTAACATACATGACCCAGAAACACTCTGTTGTTTTACTGCACACAGAACTAGTTACCCTTCTAAGTAATGTTGCCTTTCAGCAACACAAAGAGAAATAGGACTGGCAGTTAATGTTATTCACAGAATTTGTCAGTGAACCTAGAGGATTGTCTGAATGTGATGGCTACCCTTGGGGTAGGGGATATGCAGTAGTAGATACTGCCTGCAGGCAAGGGGCCTTCTTAGAGTAGGGTCTGAAAGGAGTGTCAGTTTCAAATATTCTGCTCACCTCTTGGTCCTTCTCCCACAGGGGCAGACCTTGTTATCAGTGAAGTCATGTGGTGGGACCATGGCGTATACTACTGCACTGTGGAAGCACCAGGAGATACCTCAGGGGATCCGGACAAAGAAGTTAAGCTAATTGTTTTACGTAAGTTCCTGTTGCCTGGGCAACAGGTATCTCCTCCTGTTCTTTTCCTCCCCACTCCCAATATTTCTCCAGTCCTGGAAAGGTGCTTGGTAAGTTACTGTAACCAGGTATGCCAGGATCCTCTTTCTCTCTCCATTTCTCCCATAGACTGGCTCACAGTACTCCTCATCGTCCTGGGTGGCCTCCTCCTCCTCCTGCTGATTGGAATATGTTGGTGCCAGTGCTGCCCCCAGCATTGCTGCTGCCACATCCGGTGTGTCTGCTGCCCAACCCGGTGCTGCTGTAATGAGAAAGGTGAGATGCAGGGAAATATGTGTCCATTCATTATTTCTGTCAAGACAAAAACCTGATGCAGTTTTCTGAGTTCCACTTTCTCTCTCTAAGTTGTGTCCAAATAGACTGCCACATTTCTTTGAGTGATGATGTTACGTTTATGACCACTTTACTTGATATTAGAGAAAGGGATGTGGATCCCATTTTGCTGTCCTGTCCCTGTGTCCTACTTTCAAAAATTTGTCCCTACTGACACCTCACTGCCAACTTCTCACATGTCATCATCCAGGGCAGAGTCACTGGCCTCACTGGTGTGAGTAGCTCAAGACTGTTTTTTAACCTGTCTTGTGGTTCTTAGGCCTGTGTACTTGAGAGAAGCAAGCAAGCTAATGCCTTGTAGTTACAGTAATGTTACTGTAAGGCCTAACCTTCAAGTATGTTGCTCTGAAAGGTACTTGTATAAAATCTGGATTTCTGTGCCATCTTATTATTTTTAGAGCTGCCCCTGTCACAAGAAAAAGGTTTTCTCTCTTTGGGCTTGTTTTTTGTTTTTTGTTTTTTTTTTGAGCGAGGGAGAAAATGAGAAAGAAAGGAAAAAAGGCCTATCATAGTGGTCAACACTACAAATACTTTCTGAAGATTTAAGCTCAAGAGAAACTTTTTTGTATGCAATTTCTTGCAATAGTAAAGATTCTGTAGCCAGACAGTGTTCTGTTAATAGGGCCAGCCAGGCATAGCATTTTAATTTTGACTGCTGTGATTGTTTAATCTGTGTGTTCCTGTAACTGTAATTTAGGAGTGACACAAGGTACAATACCCCCCCCACACACACAATTCATACAATTTGATAGGAACAAATTGTATCTTATACATTTACCTATCACTGAAATCACTAGATTCTTCTGCAAATGCTGCAAGGAAAGAACTTGTGAACAGGAGCTGTATTTCTTTTAAATTGCTCATTATTTGGGTCATGTTGGGTCTTAGTAAGCTCGCTAACAGCTGGAAGAGGCTACTGTGAGAGTTTTAGCTTTATGCTTAATCTGCTTAGCCTCTACAAAGAGCAAACAGACCATTTCATTTGCTAAAGCCAAACCCAAGCAAAACAGTTTCTTGGAATTTTTTGGTTGTGTGGTGCCGAGGATGCAATGGAAGTGAGGATAGAATGAACATTTGGCAGAGAGCTTGCTTTCCGTGAGAGGAAAGCAATGGAGATGAAAGATTTGCACCTCCAGACTTCCTAGTTCTCATTGAGGAAAGGATTTTGAAAATGCTTGAATTCTTTAAGGAAAATTTCTGTGCTGTAGGTGGCAATGGCACTTTCCAGAGTGCTGCTTTTGTCCTTCCTGCCTTCTGCTGAGGATAAATAGGAGAAATTCTTGTGGGTTCCCAGAACCTCTACCTGCTCACAAGAGAAGGTACAGAAGGGTTCAGCCTCCTTGGCTGGCTGCTAGAATCTGTGAATATAATTTCCATCTCAGCTGCCTGCCCTCTTGATCCACTTTGCAAGGAATCCCTTGCTCTGGTGCACTTTCACTTCATCCTGCTTCCAAATGGACCTTTTAGCCTCCAGGAAATGAACTGGGGACTTACAAAACAGAAGGCTGAGGCAGGAAACATCTTAAAAAGCAGTTCTAAGGAATAACAGTTCCGTGTAGTTGAAGACAAAAGTCGTCAATTAAACTGTAAAATTACAGCATGAATTGAATGTGGATGATTTTTTCCCACTTAGTGGCCACTAGAGGGTAGCCTAGATCTGTTGAATGGAATTAGGATATGCTGAGGCGAGGTAACTCAGTGTTTTAAGTCAGGTCATCAGCTAACATGATTTTGAACCTTGTAATAGAAGTGAATTGTTTGGGTAATTCAGAATTGGTGTTACAGAAATATTAAGCATGCCCCACGGGGCAACCCAATTACATTTCCCATGGAAAACTGCAAAAAGCCTACTAGTACAGATATTGTGGTAAATACATGTATGACCTCCTTCTGTTCCTATTAGTTCCTTTTCTCCTGCACGTTTCTTCCATTAATGAATTGGAAAAAAAGATGAGGGTAGTAAAGAAAGTCCAGGGATAATTCTGCATTTGTTCAGCTACAAGGATAGATCAGAGAATCACAGGCTTAGGATGGCTGATGCTAGTGGCTGCCTTCATACATTAAAGAGAGAGGAGCCTGTAGTGCTCTAAGTGTACCTTTCACTGCTGAGCCTCTCACTGCTCAGGTAAGACTGCATTCAAAACTCAGAGATGTGCATTCCACAGGTGCAGGGACATTCTGAAGGTGATAACCAGAGGAATGGGAGAGGAACAGTTAGGGCCTTTATTTCTATCTCTCTTTGTTTTCTTCTTTCACTCTTTCTTCCAAATTTAAAAGCTAAACTGGTGGAAAATTGCTTGGAAAGAAAATAATGAAGCATGTTTTACATTAAGTGCTTGAAAACTGCTACCTCAGGCTGCAACACTTTGAAGAAAAATCAGTGTATTAGGATTAAAACTCCTGAAGTCTTCAGCTTTGTAGTTCCCTATGTTTGGAGCCAGGCTGGGGAAAGAATCGTGTGTGGAGAACAAAGTGGAGTAAGATGTGGAGAAAGGGAAGGATGTGCTCAGAGGGAGTGTCAGTCCCTGTTGTGCTACAGGTGGTGCTCTGAGTAAATTCAGTGAAACAGTTAAAGCAGTGCATACCTGCAATCTGTGTAATAAATGGAGTGCTACATGAAACTGAAGAGTTGAGACCCTGAGAGTACTCAGTCTAAATGCTGCTTGCTGCAGATTAACTCAGGGGACAGAATTAATTGGAGCTTAGCTGTAGCCAGGTTTCTTAAAGAAGGAAGGCTTGTGCAGCCAGCCTGTGTATCCCCAGTCTCTTCCCCTTCAGTAACTTTTAATTTCATCAGCCAACTTCAGACATTTATTAGAGGGGTAAGTGTCTCAAAGGCAATTACATGCTTAACTGTCTGCTGAAATGTATGGGCAAGAATGTGCCTTATGGAAGAGACTGCAGTAAAAGACTGCCCCTTCTAAGATTCCAAATAAGCCATGTAAGAGAATTTTTGCAAAAGCCCCAGCTGCAGAAGCATTATACCCAAAGGTGAAAGACAAACCATGCAGAGTCAGGCTTTGTAATGTCTGGGACTTGCAGAATTTACTTGTAAACTTGAGTTTTGATTGTCTCTGGTAGCAAGTGTAAGGCTTTTTTTTAAGATGTTTTAGCTTTCTCAAAAAAAAAAGCAATGAGTGATGGTTTTGAAGGCAGAGATGGTGATGTTGTCTTTGTAGGGGGGAGGTGCAAGGGGAGAGGTGCTGAAAAAAATAAAGTTGGATTGAAGCCTGACTCCACTGGTAGCAGACTGGAGTTAGTGATGGAAAAATGGTGACAAAGTGGAAATTTCCTCTGAGTTTCCTCTTCTGGGACACAGGACATTGCTGTTGAGAACAGGATGTTTAGTTTGCTCACCAGTTTGACCACACTGACTGAATGGATTTAATTTTTGCAGTCATGCAGAGGTAAATAGGAGAGAGACAATAAGAGCAGCTGGAAGACTAGACAGGAAGAAGGCAGTAAATGCATCTCTGAGTGCCTTGTTTGTAGAACAGAGAAGAAACTGCTTTTGTGTGTGGTGTGGAAGGTAGGATCTATATAAAGCCTACATGAGAGGAGCTAAAAAGGTATTGTTTAACTGTAGGGAAAGGACTAATGGTGAACTGAAAGTTTTAAGAAAGAAAACAACATGGTATGTCTTGTTGTATGAAACATTATTTCCTACTTTGCCACATCTGTACTCAGTGACGCGGCAGACAGAAGTCCTGCATTAGGTTATGTGCTGTATACTTAATCCTAATGCAGTTTGTTCCTGGTTCGTGGAAATGTAGGAGGCAGTAACCCTTTTCTTCAGCTTTAGGTGCATTTTGGAAGCTGTACAACTTTTCTGTTAAAATTTCCTGCACTCCATTTGTAAGCTATGTCATAAGTTGGAGAGAACTTCTCATTCTTTGATCACGTTCAAAGGCTAGAGTCTATCAGCAAAAGGGTATGTGTTCTGCAAGCTGTACTCTAGGCATGGCTACTCAAAGCTTTCTTCTTCTTTTACAGTACTGGAACAGCATCGATTCATGAAGCAGGCTCAGGCATTTGCACCGTGGATGTTACCTAACATGTTCTATGGAGGTGCTGATAGGAACTCACAACTTTCCTCTTATCAGCTGAACCCTCTACTGCAACAAGGTGAGACTGCGGTCATCATTTCAGAGGGAAATAGGAAAGAGAAGCAGGTAACTTCTCAGGGAGCTTCAGCAGTGAATTTTATCCTCTCAAAGTGAGAAAGATGTTCCTAGCATGACTACATGTCCTAGCATGACAGCTCTGCTTCATCTGCAACCTACTTTAGACTTGCCTGTGTGGATGAATACAGCATGTCCATCTTAAGTGTCTCGCTAGGCGCAGTGCTGGGTGAAGTAGTTGAATGCTAACTAAGGTGTATCTTGTGCTACACCACAGTGACTGCAGGGTAAATATACCCAGCTTATCTCACTTCATGGGGTGGAAGAGGGTACTTTGTCTTTGTTCTGCTGTGCTGGTCACGGTCAACTCCTTATATCCAAAATTGACATGAGAAGTGAGGTGCAATTTGTTTGAGTTCTTATCAAATGTCTGGTCTTCATACAATTGAGGGCAAACTGCCTTCTGTGCAACAGATCTACCCTACATGCAGCAAAGAATAAATCTGAAGAATTTGCTAGGTATTCTGCCTCAAAATTACTTATATTAGTTGTATATATTTTTTAGTTTAATTGAATAGGGAAGATAGGGTGTCTGAAGTCATAGAGATATAAGCAATAGAATAAATTATTACCAGCAATATTATTTAACCACCCCAAGAACAATAGCAGAATTCAGCATGACTTCTCATACAGGATTTTTTTCATATGAAATTAGCTTTTCATCACTGTACTGCAGTCATAGGTTTACAGTCTTAACCACTGTTTGAAGAGTTAGCTGAGGCCATTAGCATAGAGAGGCTCACTCTGTTTTTCCTTAACTTACCACATTCTCCTATGGTTTAATCTTCAGATGTGTCTCTGCAGAACAGTCTTCCACTGGTGCAGCCACAAGCTCGACTTTCCCCTAACAAAGGTGTTTTGGACTATCTGGAGTCTGAAATCAAGAACCTTAACCCATCACAGCCCCGGCCACCCTCCAACCAGCGGCAGGCAGTGCAGCCCAGCTTACTGTCCTCCCTGGGCAGCGACATCATGCAGCATGGCACAAACGGTCTTCCTCCTCTCACTGGTCATGTTTCTTCTTCCCATGGGAGCAGCAACTCCTCACGTCCACAGAGAACTACCCACAGCCCCAGAACTTGGGACTCCATAGCAGAGAACAGGAGGGAAGATCGGAGGTGGCCCTTGCCTTCCAGTGAAGATTCTCGTTCCAGCTACAGTCGGGAATCCCGGGACAGGCAGCGAGACGACCATCCTCCAAGGCAGAGGGCAGGCGGCTATGATCACAGGCCGCAGCACTCCAGGCGGGATGTGTCACCCACCCGCCAGACTGAGAGAGGAAAAAGCAGCAGCAGCAGCTGCAGTTTCTATTCAGAGGAGGCCAAGGAGCACTCTAGCCACCATCGTGGCCGGAGACAGCAGTCTGCAGTGAGGCGAGAGTACCAGCAGCACACCAGGAACAGCAATAACTCGAGGCACCGGCGGCACAGCTACTCTCCCCCATCTCGACGGGGATCATGGAGCTCCTCAGAAGAACAAATCTGTCTCCCAGCGACAAACCGCAGGCGGCACAACCGGTCTCGGGAATGGCCAGATGATAAACCTCCCAGTTATCGCTCGCTAGAAATCATCCCAGATCGGGACAGCAAGCACAGAGAGGGTGCAGGGCCACGCTCGGTGAGTCAGCTGCCTTTTTTCTTCCAGTCACAGGGCAGAGATGGGTTCTGGGGGTGACAGTGAATGTCAGTTACTTTTTGCGGCCTGATATCTTTGAAAGAAGGGTAAAGAGTATTGAGTGCCCTAGGAAACGGTGGGAAACACGTGATCCTTCAGTCCATGTAGAATAGGGTGGCTTGCTAGCTGCAGCTCCTGAGGACTGGACATGCATTATTCGGGGAGTAAAGAGTTGCTGTTCACAGCTCATCTTATCAATTTATACAGTGAATAGATTTCAAGCAGTGTCCTGTGCATGAAGATCTTAGTATCCAATTGGTAGCCCTGAAGCTAGATAGTATGTTCCTCCTTAAAAAATGGGACTTTTTCAAAAACAACAAAAGCAACGAAATTAAGTGTCCCTTATCACCTCTATGTTGTATTTTCCAAGTGGCTCTGTTCTCAAAGGGCCATATTTTGCGTTTTACAATTTTCCCTTCTGAGTTTTGGAAGGCAACGTAGTTTTAGTCTCAGCTATGATATGTATGTGTATAATGGTTTTGTTTCAGTGCTCAGAATATGTAGGCAGACACTTGATTTTCATCTGTCTTTCCTTGTTCCTGAATCTTCTATTTTCTCCTGCAGGACAGAGGAAGTTCCTATAGTGCAAGAAGCATTGTCATTTAATGCCAGTACTGAAAGAATGAAGATTCACACTGGACTCTTTTTAGCTATTTTTACTATATAGTTGGGATGACTGCTTTTGATTGAACCAGCAAAGGGAAAACAAACAGAAGATGAAACTACTTTTGAAGAAGATATGTCTAGTGGACATGAAAGCGATATATAGCCCATATTTGTTCCTACTTTGATTTGGAAACTTAGGTTTGTGATGGGCTGAAAACATGCTATTGGATACAGCAAATGTTTTTAATAAACAATTTATTCCCAGAGATATCAATTGCCTTTGTTAGGTAGGTACCCTGACACTAGAAGCAGTAGTAGAGTATGTAGAATGCTGATCCTTTGGGCACCAGTTACTGGAGAAGGGCTCAGATAATCACAGGGATGTAAAGTCACAGGACAATAGAGTAATTTAGGTTGCAAGACAGCTCTGGAACTCATCTGACCCAGTCACCTCAGAAGTTGGTGTAGAGAGGCATAGCATTTCCTTTCTGAGCCCCTCTAATGTACTTCAGAATTATTTGATGCTTGCTGCTTCTGCCTGGCTTTTCAGTGTAGTGTAAGCAGTTGCTCCCCTTTGTCCCTGATCCCAAACAGCAGAATTCCAGTGTTAGAAGGATTTAGAAGTCTTACTAAGGGCTCACTGCAATCTGCAAATTGCCAGCTTATCTGCCCTATACTGACTGAAAACCCCGCTCTACATTAAGCTTAGACTTTAGTACCTAAAAAATGCTTGTTCTAGCCTTTAACACAGACTTGAATTTATGTGTAAATGTAATGAGCTAGATTTACCAAAGCTTGGTCATCCCCACAGGAACTGAGCTTGTTATGACTACTATCTCTCATACTGTAGACCAGAACTTCCTTCAACTCTAGGAAGCATAACTTTGTTGGATGTATGTTTCCTGGGCCATATACTCATTTTATGTTCTCCCTTTGCCCTCTCTAACATGTGTTATACACATGGGGTGGGATAAAGGGCTCTGAAGAGGCCTAACAATTTTTACTATTATTCTCTTGATCTTTACCCTGACACAAATCAATTCTGAATGCATGATGTATCTGATCTTATCTACATGGAGGGGTTTTCTCATCCCTTCCCTTGCAAATTGAATGCAGAATTTCTAGAATTCCTTAAGACTACCTGCAAAGGAGAAAAGCTTGCCATTTTTCCTTGATGTGATTCATCCATCCACTGTGATCATTTAAAATGTACTGGAAAACTTGATGTTCTCTGGGTGCTATAGTTACATGCTGGATGCATGCACAGGAAACAGGCTTGCCAAAGATATTCTTAGATTCAAGAAACTCAATTGTTGACAGGGAGCTTTAGGAGCATCTTGTGAATAATTTTATAACTCTGAGACACTAGAGTCTGGCGAGTGTCAGTTACTGTACTGTCCAGCTTATTTCCCAGCCAGTGCCAAAACTGAAATCCCAAGATGGTAGCGTGAAAAAGAACTTGCTTTCCTTTCATGTTCCAATACAGTCCAGTAAGTTTCCCCAAGAGTAGGAACTCTCTCAGACAGCAAGAAAATTGTGTGTAAGAGCAGCAGCAGTTGTAGCATGAGCATGTCATCCAGAGGGACCTCGACAAACTGAAAAGATGGGGCGTTGTGAACCTAATGAGGTTCAACAAAGCCAAGTGCAAGATTTTGCACTTCGGTTGAGATAATCCCAGATATCTGTACAGACTGGGAGAGAGTACTTGACTACTTGAAGACTACTTGAAGACTACTTGAGAGTAGTCCTGCTGAGAAGGAAAACTGAAATGGTACCAGTTTTGGTAAGATCTGGTCACAAACCACTGTGGTTCATAAAGCACTGATTAGTGGTCTATGAAGTAATTAAAAAGGAAATCTATTATACATGCTTTGCAACTGCGAGCAGACAGAAAAGTAGGAAGGAAATAGGCTACTCTTTGAATGCATATTTCTATTTTTAATTGGTTAAAAGTGAAAGCCTTTGCAATGGCACTGCTCAATACTATGTAGACTTTATTTAACAGTGAGATTACTAGGCCTTTGACTTTTTAAAAGAGAGAGATTAAGTTTGGCAGCTGAAATACTACACAGTGAAAGAACAGTAGGAAATAGTTGAGCTTCATTCTTTCTAGGTTGTAATTTTCTCATTTTTAATTTTTTAGCCATTCCAAAGGGCTGATGTTTCTGTGTCACCCATTTGCGTTGAAAGAAATAAATGTGATTTCATATGTGAGTTATTTTAGACTTTTGTTTCTTCCTGCTATGCAGCTGAGGGAATATACCTTGCACCCAATGAATTTTGTGTATGAAAGTGCCTAGATAGCCACTGGAGTTATTCATGTTAAAATAAAGAATAGGTGACTATGCCACATGGAACAGATGAGATCTGCTGCTCATGTCAGCTGCTTTCCACCTCAAACCAAAGATTCATTTGATTTTAAAAAGGATTGCAATACCTGGCTTCCTTGCTTATTTGCAGAGCACTCTGCCATTCCAGGAATGAAGGGCAAGGACTGCTTCTTGTGCAATCATCGATTTGGGCTTGGCAATTGCCTGTTTGGCAGTAGAAAGCACTGAAAGGCCCTGTTGCTACCTGTGGGATTGTATTCATGACAGCACTGGATAAAGTTAGACAACCTTAGCAGGAATTAAAGTTACCATAACACAAAGCTCTTCAGAGGTACATATTACTACATAGGGCAGCTAAATTCCCTTTGTTTTACTACCTCAGGCAGCACATCACTTTAAAACACACCCTTAATATGGCCAGAGACTGCCATTTGTTGGCCTGACTTAGAAGAGAGATCACACTTGAGGTTATGTTAAATTCACCCCCACAAGTAATGACTGCCTGTTGCTATTTCTGTTAACTTGAATGTCTATAATGTGTCTTGTACTGGTTTTCTGAACGTTACTTCAGCTTTAAAAGCAGGCAGTAAATCTGTGGAATCTCCTTAATGACTGTAGAATGTATAATTAAAACATGAGAGAACTTCAAACTCTGGTTGTTCTTGTGTGTTCTTCCTAGACCATAAATTGCTTTTTAGTATTTACACGAGAAGTGGAACTGAAAATCCTCTGTTCTGACTTCTAGAAGTAACCTTGTTAGACATCAGTAATAATTTTCAGCTGTCTTTTTTTCCTTCCGTGGGGATTTTTTTGGATCAATGTTCGTGTTTCAGGTGGCTTTTTCTTTGTTTTTCGTAGAAAAAAGATACTAAAAAGATACTATAAGGTACTATAAAAAGATATTTATTAAATACTTCACCAAGAGAGTGGAAAAACTCTGTGGGAGGCCATGGGCAGTTCTCTTTAATGATGTGACCTCAGTTGTATCACTGCTGCAATCGCTGATTTGGCTGCCATATCTGTAAAAGGGTAACACTTACTGTTTGGTTTACAATACACAAAGCTCCATGAAGAAAAGTCTTTTAGAAGAATGTGTTGGGCTGATAAAGAAACTGGTTGAGCTTTTCGGAGTGTCCATCTGTTAGTTGAAAGTCATGTCAGTGACTTAGTAGGTGACTAACGCTACTTTATGTCACTGACATAAGATAGTTTTGTTGGGTCTCACATTGTAGGTTTAATGTATGCCTCGTGCCCACTCCTTTTCCTCAGCTAATGCCATTTGTTGCTCCATGTTGCAAATTTTCTGCCTTCTGTTCAATGGTTGTATGTGCCAGATACTGACAGTTGGCCTGACTGAAGACCCAATGGGCACTTGGAGATTGTGCTATGGGAAAAGCACATCCCGCAGCATGACACAACAGATGCTTTCTGACTGGGTGCAGATCCCTAGGCAGTCTGGGGAGAAGTTATGCTTCCCCTGTGCAGATTTTGACATCTGGCTGAGATCTGCACCCATCTTGTCAGCTTGTGCAAAAAGGCTTGGCTATGGGGAAAAATGAACTGCGAGAGCACTAGATGTATACATATACCTGTGTGCACCAGTTGGTTAATACGTTTGTTGGAAACAGAGGGTGAAATATGAATGAGCATAATAGCAACAAATAATTTGCAGCTGTCAAAGCAGTCAGCTTTCAACATGAGCCTTCCCACAGGAACAGTGGGAGCAAAAATCAGTCCAGCTCTAGCTACAGTTTATGTGGAATTTGCTCAGTTTATGAAAGGGTCCTCCATGACATGGTTGCCTGAAAACGTAGGGGGCTCAGTGACCCAGGAGCTGCCTTCCACATCTCATATGCTCAGGTCAGACTGACCCTCCATTACCAAATCCCAACAACAGGTCCAGAGTCCTACACAGCTTCTTGTCCATACCACTGAGCTGAATCTGCTTGCAAAAGAGCAAATGGGGAAATAAAACAGGACCTTTGACCCCTCACTATCTCTATATTAGTTCTGCATAAATGCTGGTGTCTCAGATGAGCATCACCCTCAACTTCAGCCTGGGAGAGAGAAAGCAGGACAGGTAAGAACTGCACTCTCTGCTCTGGGTGGTATGGACCTTGGGACATTGACAAGTGAGTGGAGGTGGCCTGCTCCACTTTTTACAAAGCGTGGACCCTCCTCACGCTCCCCAGCATGGAATATTGCTGAAATGGAAGAGGGAGGGAGTGGATTGAAGTTGAGTGATGGAAGCTCCATAGGATACTCATAGCAAGGTCAAACCCATGGTTAGGGAATTGAGGAGTTGCAGTGTTGGAGTAGACATGACTTTTTCCCAGTCCCATAGTGGCTTCAGGCTCTAAAGTAGGTAAGATCTCTTTACAGTCCTGGGAAGCAAATTTATGCCTTTTGTCTACAAAGGAAGAAACTGACCCTAGGATTAAAATTCAAAGAAGGGTAGTAACTGAGCAACTGCTGCTAGTCAGCAAATTCCAAGTGAAGATGGAGTGGTAGTTTTGGGATGTAATCTGTGCATAAAAGGAAATAAAACTAGATATACACTGCCCTGCTGTGGTATAAGAAGCACTGGCTAGTGCCACTACTTGGAACTGGATTTAGCAAAGTATTCATACAGAATAGGTGTGCAGCTCTTTTTGCAGTTCCTAGCACTAATGTTTTCATCATGTTGTTCTGACTGATGCAACTCAGTTCTTCAGCCGATAAATCAATTTTAACTTCTAACTTTCAAACACCTTTCTAAATGCGCAGCATTCGAAAAGTTTGTTTAGATGTAATGTCATCCTTTCAACGTACCAACTTTTCAAAAGTTTCTCTAATTCCAGATTTTTCAATAGACAGTATAAAGGATGTTGGATGATGGTGAAGTTTGCACTTATTTATTTATGATAACTTCTGGGCTCTGCCTGGGTTGCTCTTTGCTTCACTTATCACACTGTAGAAGAGACAAGAGAACCTGGTTGGTCTTTCCTCAACTAGAGCAAGACAAAATACTCAGATCACTGTGTCATTCAGATGGTCACTGCAGGTGCTGCACTGACTAGCATAAGATTCTTTACAGCCATCTACAAAAATTCAAGAAAAACAAAAAACAAAAACAAAACTGCAGCATGACTTTTTCAGTTACACCCCTGTGTGGAAGAAGCCTTTCCTGACCACAGTGTTCACTGTTTGCTTCTATGCTGAAGCAAGGAATTTTAACTCTCTTACAAAAGTAATAACTTTAAACATCACATATTTCTTGGAGATGTGAAAGCTATCATTCATCGTGGATATTTGTGA